CATCCTTTCTCAAATTGAATATTCTGGACATTTCAGCATTGTCGAATTTAATATATATATATATAACTTCTGTAAATCTTAGGACACCTTTCGAACAGTTCATCTACCAATCTACCAATCATTATGTCTGAGTTTTATTCAGTATCTGAAAATTATTAAAAAAAATTAATTTTGTCATTTAAGTATATTTATTACCATCGTCACATATCGTATAATGTCGTGTATTTCAGTTGTTCATTTAAATTTTTCTTAGAAGAACTGTCGTTTAATCATCCGTCATGTCATATGCCTTAATTTATTTCGCCAATAGTTTTGTACATATCGTTGCAGCTTTATTATCATATTTAACTAGTCGTTGTAAATAAAACTTTGTCAAACTTTTTCGTCGGGGATTCGCTTATCGTCATAATTTTGTTAAAATATTGACTTTCATCAATAGCAATATTCAATCTCAAATTTCAATAAACAATGTAAATTTGATTATTAGTATTTGAAGAGATAATGTCTTGAAACAGTCGCATTACAAGAATCACATTTGAAAAACATTATTTGCTATTAGAAAAAAAACTTATGTTCAAATTAGCAAACAGATCGTTTCTTCTACTTATGAAGTTCAAATATAATTTTAATTTCAGACAAACGTTAAATTATTCATTTGATCAAGTTCCACTCGTTTACAGTAAGATTATAATATAAATTTTATCTTAACTTATAGTTTTATCTACGTGATAGAAAACTAATCAATCGTTATTCTTTAAGGAATATCAAGAGTTTTTTCATAGAATTCCAAACTGTTATTTATTTCCACGTTCCTTTTGTACTTGATTTGATAATTTCTAATACGTTGATTTTATAAAATTTATTAGCTGATCAGAATTTCGTTCACATCTGCTTCTTGTATAACTCCCTGTAAAAAAAAGAATTGGGTGGTCCGGGATTTCGAATTGGGATGTCGTTTCTTGAATTCGAGAAAACGACTTTTTCGAATTGGACTGATTTCTGAATTCAGAAATGTATGGTTCCGCGATCAACCCAATTCGACAGATATTTTAAAGATGAAAATAAAGAATTTAACACTTCACTGGACATTGAACAGTAGTTAATTGAGACGGTGCACGTTATTCACGTAGGTGAATACATTTCTTTAAGCAATAATGTTAATTTTCAATAAAATGGAGAGAATTAAAAATTTGATGTGGTCTTTGTTTACAATAGAAAAAGTTTTCTACTTTTAGGGTTATTAAAACAGCTTACTTACCGACAGCTGAGAAGTATTATGATAACAAATCAAATGATGATTTCTATACGAAAGTATCATTTACGTCGGTAATATTCAATTATAATTGAATATTAATAAATTAATTTTAAATTTTTAAACGGATTAAAAATTTTTTATTAAGAATATTTAAAAAAAATTTACAATAATTACTGTAATTAATATTTTTTTCAAAATATAATTATATGTTTGTTATAAAAATAATAATTTTAAAACAATTTATTTGAATCAACAAAAAAATAATTTCACTTCTTGATTTTCATAATTAAAACGTTTTTAAATTATTTATTCTTCAATTTTATAAGTTAGGATTAAATTAAGTACAAGTAAATAATGTTAAAATATTTCGTTTATTTAAAATCTTGTTATTGTTATTTATATTATTGTTATTGTTATTTTTTTGTCTTCTTTTAAAAAAATATGTAAATAAATATTGGTAACTAATATTTTACACATTTATTAATAACATTACAAAATTAATAACATTTTAACATTAATTTGTTAAATTATAGGGGAGAGGTACGCACGTTGAGACACTAAGGTATTATAACCTGTGTAACTGATAATACCAAAAATTTTATTGGAATTTTGTCGTATCATTAATACCAAACTTTTTATTCAAAAAAAGCGCAATAACTCCTGTTTTTTTCGGTAGAACTAGAGCGAACCAATTTTTTAGTTAAAGAAAGTGTTTTTCAAAATTTCTGTTTAGTGTATTTACCATGTATTTTTTAGTGGCAGAAAAATTTGCGGATAACATTTACATATCAATTTTGGTTCTACTTTAAAGTTCCGACAAAAATTTAGACATAAGTTAACATCTACAAATAATTTCAAAGCTTTAAAAAAATATCGGCAAGGTCTGCACGTTGAGACACACTGTGGAACGCAGGTTAAAACGCTCACGGTGTGAAGATAGTACTGTCATTAAGATTGATTTTGAATCCACAATTTTTAAGCGTTTGATACCGGTCACATGTATGTGAAAATTCCGCGAAAGAAAAACACCACTGCACAAGTTGAGAACCCTTCTTTTTGAAGGTCTCAACTTCGTGAAAATGTGGTATCTTCCCTTGGGTTGACTTTTTCGACATCGACATGTAGAAAAAATTAGTCTAGCTGGGCCTTACTCGTCGATTTCCCTGACCGCGCGCCTTTCTCTGTCTTTTCTATCTCTGTCTCTCTCTACTCCACGTTTCCGCTTTTCCTCTTTCGCATTCCTCCCCAGCAAAGATTCAAAGGGCCCAGCAACCACTATATATATATATATATATATATATATATATATATATATATATATATATATATATATATATATATATATATATATATATATATATACTTCGAGTTAAAATTCGTTTTAACAATTTTGAAATTAACAGCATATATTGTAATAATGATTTGATAATCATTGGTACTTATACTTATATTGTTTTACTAAGAATTAGTTTAACAATATCTGACTGATTAAGTATAAATATTATTATTCTAATTATTATAATTATTGTTACATTAGTGTTGTTATTATTAATACTGTTAATATTATCAACACTAATAGGTTTTATTGAATTGCTGTTCATTTTTTAACAATTTAATGTTAATTATTTTTTCCTTGAAGAAATAATTCTTTCAATGTTTAAAAATAATAATTTTATTATTAATACGTTTATATTGTCTTGAGTATTAATTTTGATTATTGTTTAATTGTTTAATTAATAAATAAATTAGTATTAATTAAATAATTAATAATCAATAACAAATTAAATAAAGAGATAAATATATTCTTTTATTTATAATATAATTAAACAACGTTATGCAAATTATATGCATTATTATGTCTGAATTAGGGTAAAATTAATGTAAAATTAGATTTTTAAGTTTAATTAAGTTTATTTTATACTTTAATATTAATTTTAGTTATTTGTAAGCTGACTAGCAAGTTCGTCTCTTGTTATCCCTCTTACATGTATAAAAAATCTTCCCCTTCCGAGAGGCAGATTTTTTATGCATAGAGTTATTGGGTATAAAAGGCGACGAAAATGCCCAGTCAGGGAGTCACTTCGCCGCCAACCCTTGTAACGGAACTACTTCCGTAGTCTCCTCCTAAATAAAACTTTAAATAAAATTTTAAAGACCAACTTAAACTGTTGTCCCTTTTTCTTTTACCTACACTACTACACCAGCTCTTGCACTATTACCGTACACACTGGCAATACGGGATTTATTTCCTGATTTTGCGCGTGAGTCGGTACTATAGTACTCATTTCACCCCGTACGAGAGTTACGCACAATCATACGCCACTGAGAGTTGCCACTTTTGACAGTGCTTTGCGGGAAATTTTTTCCTGTTCTGAGCTCTGTGCAGGAGGCAAACTTTCGACGAAACCCTTACACCCACAAGCTATTTAACCCCAATTTACTACCACACTGATTATAGCACTACGGGAAGAAATTCCTTGCTCTGCTTAATGCGTGAGGTGGTCGAACGGGACGATGGCTTTTGGGGTTAATGGGTCTGACGTCACTGAGAAAACTACCACCTTTGACAGAACTTTGCGGGAATTTTTCCTGTTCTGAGCTCTGTGCAGGAGGCAATTTCTCAAGACGACAGCAGTATGACTATTGTGTAACTCTCTTCCTTCCCACTACAGTACACAACTTTATTTGTAAACTTTTCCTGAATTTTATGATTAATAACAATTAATTATTAACTTTCAGACTTTGCTTAATTTTGAACTTCTCTAATAAGTGAACCATTAACCAACATCCATTTACAGATTTATTAATTAATTCTGTGTAAATGCACATTTCCAACCCCAGAAATGTGAACAAACCATTCTAACCTTCAAGTTTGTTTACGTTTGTGTGTCTAAATTCCACATCGACTTGACGCATTTGTTTTGACAGAAAAGCTAACCTCTAAATTCGGTCTGCTTCTGAGCCTTTAAATCTCGAGGTGCCCAGTCGATTATCGATTATCGAACTTCGAGAGATCGATTCTCGATTATCGAACATCGAGAGATCGATATATCGCTGACGTCACTGTTTAACGCCGGCTACGGAGAAGCTGCCTTCCCCTAAGGCCCAGCTACTCTGACGTCACTGCCAAGGTGCTACGAAAATAGCAATCCGCTCTTTGCCCGGTCCCTTCCCTTCACACGGTGACCGGTAACAAATTGGCGCCCAACGTGGGGCAGGATTACATTATCCGGCCTTTGAGTTCTGATGGACATCAGAACTATCACCACAACCTGATGTCTCCAACCTCTAAACGAGCTACTGTGCATACACCCTTATCCTCCAATGCTGAGAGGAGAACTCTGAGAGACTTGCCTGTCCGTAGAACACGAACACTTTACCGTACACCACCCCTTATTCGACGTAGCCCAGAACGTTTAACGGTAACTCGCTTAAACGTCGATTCTGCGGTACTCGACGGTCTAGTTAAACTTACCGAAACGCATCTCCACACAGGTATGACAGAGACAGACAACGAAGATCCCAACGCTTCTATCTCTCACGTCAGCCGTAAGGGGGATAACACACCTGGCAACTCTCAACAATCTCCTCCACCAATCACTTCCGGGAGTGAAATTCAAAACCCGGTGGCGTCCAACTCTACAGCTGTACACACAGACAACATGTGAATTCACACCAAACTACCGATTCCCCTAGAATCTCTCACGGGGTTGAAACGGAACAAGTCCGTAACATGCTTGATACCATGGTCGTATCTGCACCTCAAGGTTCGGAATCAACAAGTGGTTCTTCCGTAACCATTCCGCCGACATTTCCGTTGGCAATGCCTTCAAATCTAACCGCAGAAGATTGGATGGGACTAATTCGAGCCTTCCAGTCACCTGCTCCACCTTTTCCTGAGTTTTACGGTCACGATTACGAGGATCCACGGAAGTACTTGCACAATTGTGAAAGATACTTTCGTACTGCCCGTACGGATCCCGATCAACGTACTCAGCTCGTAAACAAAGGTCTTAAGGGGGATGCACAAAAATGGTGGTCCCTGTATAAAGATTTGTGTTTCTCTTGGGATGATTTCGAATCATTCTTCCTGTCTAAATTTGCCAATCCGACTGCCGTAATGCGCCTTCAGGCTTCTTTATACTCCCATACACAGGGAGAAAAAGAACCCGTCGCCGTATTCCTACAACAAAAATTCTTGCTTGCCAAAAGACTGAATGTGCCATTATCCCCAATGGAGCTGACGTCACTGCTTCTCGAATCCGTAAAACCGGCATTACGTTGTCTAATACGGCCAACTAATCCGAGTAGTTTTCCGGAACTTTTAGAAGCTGCTACAAAAGCAGAGAAGGATGTAGCCGACTGTGCTGCCCGCAAACCTACTCCGGTTAGAGAGGAAGCTCCTCGGAAGCCCAAACCGGAAAATACGGATAGTAAACAGTTACGGCTGCCGCCATGCCACTATTGTCCGGAGCACCATTACCACCGAGATTGTCCCGTTTTCCAAGCCCAGCGACCTCGTTCGACTCCGGAAAACTGGCGAGCTCCGGCGGGGGCAAGTGCCCCAGCTCCCGTCGAAACAAAGCCCCAATCTTAAGCTCGATTTACTTAACATCCCAAAATTTGCCACGAGCACGCGTAAAGCTCGGAAACCGCTTGCTCGTGGTTGAAATCGATTCTTGTGCCGCACATAACTTTATTAAGTTATCACTACTCACTAACCATGAACAATGCCACTATATTTTTCGATCTCGTTTAAGGTAGTCATTCTGCCAGTGCCGTATGACTAATACATTTCTTAAAGTTAGATTCAGAAATTCTACTTCTCTTCTACCATACACTCACTACATTTTGCCTTTATTTAACCACATTTCAACTCTAAAGCCTAATACACCTTGTTAGGATAAATCCATCTCACATGTCTGGGACTACAAAGTCTATTGCCACCCTAGTCAATCAGTCTTTTTACAAACTTATATCATCGGACGATGTTATAAATGACAAGGAAGCACAGTTGTCTAACCAGCTCATATCCAAGAAAGTATGCCCTTCTCGGACGCCAGCTAGACGTAGCAACTTCTCCCTTCTATTGGACCAAGCAAGGTTCATACATTCCATCTAGTCACAAAATAGGTTGAATAAACCCGAGGACTAAACATTAAGCGAAATCATTGGTGATCACACGAATCGCCCCCAAGATGACAAGCTTACCTCCAACAACTGAAAACTAGAATCAAGACGTGACATTGGCTTATGTCACAATAGGTCACTACCAGATTTATACCATCTAATGAGACAGATAAGGCCCTATCCTTAATTATCCTAACAGGAAAATTCTTCTATACACAGTGTAATACATTTCTAGTTCAATTAATAATATCTTATCTTCAACCCAAGAGCCTGAAACCGAACAAGTTTCACGTTCAATGAAAAATTCTCAGACTTTATACCAAAGTTTCTAGTCCCCTTTTTCTGAACAAGAAACGGACAACGATCCTTTGTCTGAAAATATTAAAACCAAATGGGTGCCCCAATTACCAAGAAAGTGATCTTGTTTATACAAGAAATCACAAACTTTCAAACGCCGCCGAGCGTTATAACGCAAAACTTGCTCCGGCCCGGACAGGGCCCTACCAAGTTATCCAAGTGATTTCCCCAGACGTATTTTGGATACAGAAAGAAGATGGGCCACATAAAGTCCATTCTTCTGAGCTGACACCAGCCCCTCGAAGTGATCAGCAAACGAACGCAGTATCAACATCGGCTGAACAAGCCGTGTCTGAACGCTTGCCACCAACTGATCCACCGAACACAACACCTGTTCCAGAATCAACTGAGGAAGAGATCTCATCCCTGGAGGGGGATGAAAATCAAGAAGAAATGGAACCTGCAAAAGGTTCAAAGTCGCTCACAATGGAACCTGAAGAAAAATCAGACAGCGTCACTCTACGCTACAAATTACGCCAACGCCGAGTAGTCGACTACAAGGACGCCCGTCCTTACCTACCCCGGCGAAGTAAGATTACTAATTAGAGCCCTCTCTCTAATTAGCACTCAACTAAGTTCCAGAGCATCGCAGTTCTTTTGGAGAAAAGAAGATCATCAAAATTCTTTGGATAAAAGATAACCATCGAAATTCTTTGTATAAAAGAAACCTATGTTAGTCGAAATCGAAATAGTTCCCCAAGGGGGGGGATTGATACCGGTCACATGTATGTGAAAATTCCGCGAAAGAAAAACACCACTGCACAAGTTGAGAACCCTTCTTTTTGAAGGTCTCAACTTCGTGAAAATGTGGTATCTTCCCTTGGGTTGACTTTTTCGACATCGACATGTAGAAAAAATTAGTCTAGCTGGGCCTTACTCGTCGATTTCCCTGACCGCGCGCCTTTCTCTGTCTTTTCTATCTCTGTCTCTCTCTACTCCACGTTTCCGCTTTTCCTCTTTCGCATTCCTCCCCAGCAAAGATTCAAAGGGCCCAGCAACCACTATATATATATATATATATATATATATATATATATATACTTCGAGTTAAAATTCGTTTTAACAATTTTGAAATTAACAGCATATATTGTAATAATGATTTGATAATCATTGGTACTTATACTTATATTGTTTTACTAAGAATTAGTTTAACAATATCTGACTGATTAAGTATAAATATTATTATTCTAATTATTATAATTATTGTTACATTAGTGTTGTTATTATTAATACTGTTAATATTATCAACACTAATAGGTTTTATTGAATTGCTGTTCATTTTTTAACAATTTAATGTTAATTATTTTTTCCTTGAAGAAATAATTCTTTCAATGTTTAAAAATAATAATTTTATTATTAATACGTTTATATTGTCTTGAGTATTAATTTTGATTATTGTTTAATTGTTTAATTAATAAATAAATTAGTATTAATTAAATAATTAATAAATCAATAACAAATTAAATAAAGAGATAAATATATTCTTTTATTTATAATATAATTAAACAACGTTATGCAAATTATATGCATTATTATGTCTGAATTAGGGTAAAATTAATGTAAAATTAGATTTTTAAGTTTAATTAAGTTTATTTTATACTTTAATATTAATTTTAGTTATTTGTAAGCTGACTAGCAAGTTCGTCTCTTGTTATCCCTCTTACATGTATAAAAAATCTTCCCCTTCCGAGAGGCAGATTTTTTATGCATAGAGTTATTGGGTATAAAAGGCGACGAAAATGCCCAGTCAGGGAGTCACTTCGCCGCCAACCCTTGTAACGGAACTACTTCCGTAGTCTCCTCCTAAATAAAACTTTAAATAAAATTTTAAAGACCAACTTAAACTGTTGTCCCTTTTTCTTTTACCTACACTACTACACCAGCTCTTGCACTATTACCGTACACACTGGCAATACGGGATTTATTTCCTGATTTTGCGCGTGAGTCGGTACTATAGTACTCATTTCACCCCGTACGAGAGTTACGCACAATCATACGCCACTGAGAGTTGCCACTTTTGACAGTGCTTTGCGGGAAATTTTTTCCTGTTCTGAGCTCTGTGCAGGAGGCAAACTTTCGACGAAACCCTTACACCCACAAGCTATTTAACCCCAATTTACTACCACACTGATTATAGCACTACGGGAAGAAATTCCTTGCTCTGCTTAATGCGTGAGGTGGTCGAACGGGACGATGGCTTTTGGGGTTAATGGGTCTGACGTCACTGAGAAAACTACCACCTTTGACAGAACTTTGCGGGAATTTTTCCTGTTCTGAGCTCTGTGCAGGAGGCAATTTCTCAAGACGACAGCAGTATGACTATTGTGTAACTCTCTTCCTTCCCACTACAGTACACAACTTTATTTGTAAACTTTTCCTGAATTTTATGATTAATAACAATTAATTATTAACTTTCAGACTTTGCTTAATTTTGAACTTCTCTAATAAGTGAACCATTAACCAACATCCATTTACAGATTTATTAATTAATTCTGTGTAAATGCACATTTCCAACCCCAGAAATGTGAACAAACCATTCTAACCTTCAAGTTTGTTTACGTTTGTGTGTCTAAATTCCACATCGACTTGACGCATTTGTTTTGACAGAAAAGCTAACCTCTAAATTCGGTCTGCTTCTGAGCCTTTAAATCTCGAGGTGCCCAGTCGATTATCGATTATCGAACTTCGAGAGATCGATTCTCGATTATCGAACATCGAGAGATCGATATATCGCTGACGTCACTGTTTAACGCCGGCTACGGAGAAGCTGCCTTCCCCTAAGGCCCAGCTACTCTGACGTCACTGCCAAGGTGCTACGAAAATAGCAATCCGCTCTTTGCCCGGTCCCTTCCCTTCATACGGTGACCGGTAACACGTTTTACATGTTCTTCACCTGTAAAAATTGCGAATATAAAAATTTCGATTAATTATTTTTGTACAAAATAAAATTTTATTTTTTGATTATTTTTTTTAAGATAATTTTTAATGTTTTAATTTTTTTTCTTTGAGCTAAGACCATCAAAATAAGTAAATAAATAACAAACAATTAGAATCTGACGTAATTATTCATTCTGTTTCAATTTAAAATAAATTACAATGGGTGTCTCAACGTGCGTACCACTTTTTTTTTTGGTCAAAAATAACATGTTTAAAAAATCATCTATAAATTTTTTAATTTTGTCCAAAAAAAATAACTTTCTTTGGCAATGTTGTAGCCCTGGACAATACTTTTAAGAAAGCATTTCGAATTTTTCGCTAAATTTTGTTTTTTAAAAATTATAACTGAAAAACAGAACCCGTCTCACGTGCGTACCTCTCCCCTAATTAAAAAACAAATATTCTAACTACTTTTAACATTTTCAAATCCTACTTTCAATTTAATATCAGCTGACAGTCTTTTAAACTCATTTTTTTTATTAATTAATTTTTTCAATTAAATTAAAATTTACTTTAATTTTGAAAATTTTAAATTAATATTAAGAGCATTAATAATTAAAAAAAATATGTTCAACAAATCTACTATATTTTAAAATACTAAAACTGAAAATGAAACTAATTCCAAGTTTGATTATAAAACACTTAAAATCATTAAAAACTGAAATCAAGTTTTTAATTATATTTTATAAAATTTTATTGTAATTCTCTACAATTTACTTTTAAATACATTTAAAAAACAAAAATTTAAAATTAATTTATTAATATTCAATTATAATTGAATATTACCAACGTAAATGATACTTTCGAATAGAAATCATCATTTCATTTGTTATCATAATACTTCTCAGCTGTCGGTAATATCTGTCGGTATTATCAGTTACACAGGTTATAATATCTTAGTGTCTCAACGTGCGGACCGTCTCAACGTGCGTACCTCTCCCCTATAATTTAACAAATTAATGTTAAAATGTTATTAATTTTGTAATGTTATTAATAAATGTGTAAAATATTAGTTACCAATATTTATTTACATATTTTTTTAAAAGAAGACAAAAAAATAACAATAACAATAATATAAATAACAATAACAAGATTTTAAATAAACGAAATATTTTAACATTATTTACTTATACTTAATTTAATCCTAACTTATAAAATTGAAGAATAAATAAT